CATTCAATCGTTCTCGTGCTTTTCTTCCAGATATGTCATCCTGAAAGCAAAGATAAATTATTTAAACTATAAGTAGGGCTCTTTGCATACAGTGCCTCTCAATGAGATATACAGAAACCTAGTTTTCTGTTGATTTTGACTTTTTCAGAAGTCTAGAGCTGGATTTTTAAGTTTTCTATAATATTGATAATTTTGAAGGGTTTAAAACAGACCTAGATTGAACCTTTGCGTTTACACAACTTTTTGAAAATTCCTAAGTTACTCAGTTAAACCTGAATTTCTAGAAAACACTCTTTTTTGCCTGTTTTTGTAATGAAAACGTAAAAATAGCAGGTGTCATTCAGGAATTGTAAAATGACTGAAAAACAAGGAACTTTCAAGAAAATTCCAGAGAATGGTGCGAATCAACTAAAAATATGTTTTTGTAACTTATATATCGTAACAGTATGCAAACAACCGCTGAATCTTTTACTCAAAGGAAAACATCCAAAAAAAAACGACTGTTTTCACAAAACACTCTGTCAATGATGTACTCACCGGGTAAATCCTAACAAGAATATGATAGCAACCCGTTGCGCGATGAAGAAAGCGACAATTCGTCATACGAGTAATAAAATCATCATTGTCCTTCACTCGAATGTCACGACCGACAATCAGCAGTGGAAGATTTTTGTTGAAGAAACGCCCAAGAGTTTTAGTGAGTTCCGCCTGAAAACATTCCATTATTATTGCCAAAAATTTTTTTGGAAAGTTACCCATGTATTCTTGAAGATCATAATAGGAGTCAAAGTTTCACGTGCAATTGCGGGATGGCGTCCTTTTTGATTAGTTGGACCAATGTAGAATGTGACTAAAACAGGATACCCGTGTGTGAATTCTGGTTGAGTGGTGACAGTGAGCGCAGAGGAAGAGTTGTTCATCTGGAAGACACTATTACAGTTAATTATAGTCAATAAAAAAAGGATAAATACAGTACCGATCAAATAGATACACAAAAACGCATTTTTCAGTTTATTTTTTGGTCATTTTCCGAAGTTTGGAGCTTGGCTGTCAACCTAACAGACCTAGATTGAACATTTCGCATTCAGAATTTTTTAAACATACATAGTTTTACAGCTTCCTGTCGATTTATGAAAGACACTTGCTTTTTCTCACATTTTCAGTACGAAAACGGGTGAAGGTGGTGTTTTTTAGAAGTTGGCAAGCAACTGAGAAACTAGGAATTTTCAAAAATTCTGTGAATGCAATGTTTTCAATAAGGTCTGTCCTCCCAAATTTTCGAATCGATCGGAAACTTGACGGCCGAGCCCGAGACTCTTGAAAACGGTTAAAATCAACTGAAAATCACGTTTTTCTTATCGTATTAAGCGGTACTGTAATTTTAAGAGAGGACCATGAAAAAGTAAAAAAAAACCCTGTGTTGCGCAATAGAAAAAAAAGATAATGAGGAGGTGAGAGAGAAGAGACTTAGACAGTCCAAGAAGGCGACCTGTGCGCGGGGACCCTCTCGCCTGTAGAGTCTACAGCATAGATTGGCGGGTGTAGTGTAGTTCACGAGATGAGCGCGCGAGAAAAGTGACCCTCGACCAGACGACTGTTGTGGTCCTCATTTTCTTTCCTCATTCATTTTGGTTTGTTTTTCTTGTTAGTTGCGCTGGCGGATTGCGTGATATGGGTTTCTTCTGAGGTGCATTATCATTTTGAATTACTTGCGGTTATCCAGAGGAAAACATAACAGCTATTCGATAATTTTTCTTATGCAGATCTCGATAAATCAGACATGAAAAACATAATGTTCTCGAAATTCCGTCTAAATACACCCCTCAAAGAGTTGAACTCATGATGGGCAGCTCAGGGGTACAGCGCCGCTACCGACTGCGCCACGAGTGCAAAGAATGAGCGCGCCCCCGATGGGAAACATAAGGGGGAGGACGACCGCGGTACGCAGAGTGATTTTAAGCGTAGTACACCGCGACGGTAGAATGCATACTCTGGCTCCATAAATCCTCCGAAAAATCTCCTGTCCCCCCATCTTCAAGGAAAATCTGTTCAAAAATTTTGCCAAAAAAACATTCTTACCAACCTAATACTTTCCTTGTAATTTCTTATCGTCTTCTCATCCAACAAATCATTTTTCCAGATAATGATTTTCCACAAACTCTGTTTCCTCGCATACTTTGTTTCCGTGGCGACAGCTACCATCAAATGCTCCGGACGACATTCCTGCTATGCCGAATCGCCAGAATGCGATCCCAACACTGATTGTCAAACCGTTCTCCGTTTCGATCCATCTGGAAATGTGAACATTTTCGTGCGCAATATGTCAGTCACCGACTACGTCTCCATTGTCACCGATCGAGACCTTCTCAACACAATGGAGTTCTTCGTTTGTGTTCCGTTTGCTGGACAACGTCTTCGTGGATTGGGACGATTCGGACAGACTATTCTGATCAATCAACAGGTGAGGAAGGGGGATGTGTCAATTTGAAAGCATCGTCAATTACAGAATCTCACCAACGTTGTGGAACAATTTGAAACCAATTCTTTCCGATGCGTGATCAATCAAGACGAACTCAAACCCGAGTTTTGGTTGAACAAAAATTTCATTGTTTCTCGAGGACGATTCCAACAGTTTCTGAGAGTGAATGAAGGTTGCAAGTTGTACAAATTGGAGCACGAAGAAGACTTGGAGAGCGAACAGTTTTTCCCAACGGCTTATAGAACACCGAAAGCATTGAAGAAAACCGAAATTGCGTCAACAAAGTTCGAAGATGTCATTGAAATTTCTAAAATGCTGCAGAATGTGAAACAAATGTTTGTGAATGCTGTGAAGCAGGAGAAAATGGACAAAGAGCATCTTCATAAGAAATCCGGCTCGAATGGTCACAAGCGTTATTATCCAAAGAGCGACTCTTATGAATCTGACAAGGATACAAAGCAGAATAAAGCAAAACTTATCAGAGAAAGTGATGATAGTCGTCAGGTGGGATTTAAAAAATATTATCCATTCCTCTTATCTTTTTTTTCAGGACAAGTCTCGCGATGTCATTGTTTCAAAAGCAAGAAGCCATAAAAAATCTCACGAAACAAAATCTCACAAGAACCAAACGATTTCTAACAAATCTGAAGAGGTTATGAGCTCAAAAATGAAGCCAGTTGCTAATGATGCCGATTTGGATACAAAAGTTTACGTTCGAATGACTAAAAAGCAAATGTACACGTTCATTGATGGGTTGGAAGAAGGAAAATCTGCTGGAAACGAAACGTGAGTTCTAAAGTTGCATCTGAGGTCCAAGTTACAAACAATGTCAGGGATCTCTTGAAATCCAATGCATCTACCTTAAACTCTGAAGTCGAGGAGCCAAGAAACAGTGCCACGGACGATGAAATCGTTTTTGTGTTGATGACCAAACGTCAGATGCATACCATGATTGGCACGAAAGCCGAGCATCAAGTCTCTGGTACCAAAATGTAAGTTCATGATTGATTTCAACTTCACAAAAGAACCTGAATACATTGTAAACCCAAATTTGATGGAATTTCAGGATAGGTTTAGAATATCTTATCTGGAAACTTCTTGAAATTTTAGAATTTTTTTGCCAGTTTCAACCAAATTATATCAATTACAGTACTAAGAGCACGTATCTTAGAATTTGAAAAAAAAATTTTTTTGAAAAAAGAAACTGATATAACTCGGCAGAAACTGGCAATCAAGCTCTGAAATTTTCAGAAATGTCTAGATATGCTTTCCTAACCCGACCGTTCAATTTAGTTGACAAAGTGTTGAGGTTCCTTGTTGAAGGTTCTTGTGAATATTTGAATTAGTGAATCTCCAATCAGTAAATAATTCATATTTCAGGTTTGCCGAGAAACGCAACTACGCAAGCAGTGGAGTTCATTTCGGGACAACTCTTCTTGTTCTTAGTGTTCTTCTGTTTCTGTAAATTATTCTAACCTCGGTTTTTTGAAATGTTCTATGTGCTATAACAGAACGGGTTACTAATTTTAAAACGGCGAATAAATTAATACGTTTTATCATTCTTATCTTACTAGGCATTCAAAAAAATGTAAATGGAATTATTAATATACTAAAATGTTTTTAAAATACACATTTTGGAAAGAACTCAGACAAGAAGAGCTAAGCCCAAAGATTAATTCAAAAGCAGTGGAATTGTGACTGTTTAAATCCAAGCTGGAAGTGGGAAGATGGAATCGGAAGAGTAATTGTTCACATTTTGTTGTAGTAATGGGTTTCTCTGAAAGTTACACATGGTTTTCGTGTTTCGAATTGATTTAAGGACTCACTTGGATTTTTTAGCAGGCGGAGGGACCAACTCATCGGGCATCTCGTCTTCGACGTACTCTTCCATTTGTTGCTGGCTTTCGCAACCCGTTGTAGCTCACACAACCAAGGAAGCATCAGATTCATTTCACTGTTTCATTCCCTTCCCAAGCAAAGGAGGATTTACCAATTTTAAGTATTCTCAAATTCTAAAATAGGACCTTCCAAACGTGTGTCTAAGTTCTATTGAATTTTTTTTTCAGATTCCATGCGCAACAAGAATACCACTATGGATCAATGATAGGTGCAACGATCATCTCTCCCATTTGCATAACACACTGACCAGATAATCGCATCTCACCACTACGCATCTTTCATTTTTTATTTCTCCAAAAAGTCAATAACAGACTGACAAGATATTCACATCTCACCACTACGCATCTTGCATGTTCTTCTCCAAAAAATCAATTATGTTCTTATGTTTTTCTTTTATTAACAGATATTGCCAATAAGCTCGTATCATGAATCTCGAGAAAAATTTCAATTCCCAACCATTAATTATGGTTCATCGTTCTTCTTTTTCCCTTTCTTTTCGATTCTCCTTTTCCCCATTCCCGTCAAACATATTTTTTACATCATACAGTTTTGGATAAATGCTTAGCGGAGAAAAAGTGTTCAGTTAGAATCCCGAAGAATCGGTACCAATAACTAGACGTTGGGCTTCTTCTTTTTTAAGTTCAATTTTTTCTATCGTCCCCTATTTTCCGCGGACAGCCCACTTGGACGGACAGCCTACTCGGACACTTTCGGACAACGGACAACTGTCCGAGTGTGTCCGAGTGGGCTGTACGTGGGAATCTCCCGTCTATTCGAGTTAATGTATGGGACAGACGCGGAGTAGACGCGGACACACGCCCCCCAAAAGCTGTGTTTCTTTGCGTCTGTCCACATGCAATACATATTTTTTGTGAGCAGAAATTGATTTCTCATGGTCTTACGAATATTTGGTGTTTGTATTCCGAGTCTTTGTTTTGCAATCTTATTGATTTTATCCAGAATAATTTTCAAATTCAGAACAAAGCAATGTCGGACCAACCGAACAATGTGGAAAGCAGCGATGATGATGATATTCGAATAGGGCCTCTCCCGAACCAAAGTTGGGATCAATATTGGGATTTCATGGACCCTTATGATGCAAAAGGGGAACGTGCTCTTCGACTACGTGAAAAAGTTTTTAGAAATATGCGTGTTCTCGATGCGGAATTGGGAAGAAATTTTCGAAGTCTATTCCGAAAGGCGATTTATGCAATAATAGATTATGAAATCCCAACAAGCATGATTTCTCGCTTGAATGATTTTTCGGTGGAGGAGCTGATCAAATTGATTTGCACACAAAATCAGGAAGTATGGCCCAAAAGTGTACACCACATTTCAGTGCGATCCCTCTCAAGGGTCAAAGAGCACAACGAAAAGAAAAATAACTTCATTCGTTCAAATCAGCAATGGGATATAAAAAACTATCGAGAATGTTTCGATGATATTCTAAAAAACGTCTTATATCTACATGCAAAGCACGGAGAAATGTTCGTTCGCGCTCTGACAGAGTTCCTCAGACAATATGGTTATGTTTTATGTGGAGATGGGTCAGGTATTCATGGATATGTTACCAGACAGAAACTTTTTGGCAAAACTCGCTCTGAGTTCTTTGCCGATCACCCACTTCCTAAAAGAATTGCACCCAGAATGCAAATCTCTGAACGAGAATGCCGCCCGGATTTCACGGATGAAGAACAAAACCCGTACGATTTCAAAAAATTGTTTCATAGCTGCCTCGAGTGTGTCTTGCAATATCAAACATCAGAAGACTGCGGTTACGCTTTCCGAATTTTTGCTCCGTGGCTGGATAGCGCAAAAAAGGCTCTAGATAACTGTTACGCTGATTTTCTTCCTCGCGATCGGAAGCTTATGAGAAATCAAGAGGGAAAGAGACTGTTTAAATGCAAGATGGAGAAGAATGAGTTGGACCTCTATGTTCTCAAAGAGTGTGTTCCGGAGGACGAGCGAATTTCAATGAAACTGGATGTTGTGAAGACGGATGTATCCAAGCATAAAGCGAAAAAACGTAAACTGGATACCGCTGTTAAGAAATTGAGTGAGTTCACTTTAAAGAATTTATAATTTAAAATATTTTTGATTTTTCAGAAAAACCCGCCGTGGCTCATAAAACTAATGAAATCTCGGAACCATTCCACCGTTTCACTCCCTTTCCAAGCAAAGGAGGGTTCACCAATTGTGAGTATTCTCACATTCAAAAATAGAAACTTCTAAAAATCGTGTGAATTCCAATGAATTTCATATTTCAGATTCAACACGCATAACACAATGACCAGTTAATCGCATCTCACCACAACGCATGACGCATGTTCTTCTCTCAAAAAATTCAATTATCTACCTTTTTTTTCTCTTCATAACTAATACCAATAATGAGCATATATCATGAATTTTGTAAACGTTCCAATTCCGAAAATTTTTCTTCCATTATGATTCATCGAACTTCTCTCCCTCTTTTTTTCGATTCTCTTTTCCCATTCTTATCAAACATGTTCATCATACCAGACTCTTTTGAATAAATACTGACATCAACTGAAAGAAAACATTTTTCAATAAGAAATCAGTGAAATCGGAGCTGTTTCTAATGTTTGGCTCAATATAGAAATAAAGGAAATTCAGTCATAAATATTTAAATCAAGATAAAATCTTTACACACGACTACCGTATTGCGTCTAATCGAAACTCATGTGCTTCTATTTTCAAAATTTTCAATTTCAGATGTTCAATGTGTTTTCAAAGCCACAAATTTACGTTGCCTTTTGTCCCATAAAGAATTTCGATTGATAAAGCTGTATTGACAAAATATAATACTCAGGAAGCATTGGTTAAACATATGTAAAAGCTGGTAAGTGGGAATCATCTATCATGGAAAGGTGGAAGTTTGTATGGCTTGCAATTTTCTCATGACAAGAAAAAAAGGGAATGACAATTAACTTAGTTTGGGTGGGGTGAATAGAATTAAATAGAGCACAGGAAACAATATGCGTTTTTTGGGAGGATCACATGATATAATTGCAAGAAAAAGTGTCTGACTATTTAGGAACGAAGACCAAGACTAGCGTTTTTCGAGAAATTGTTGAAAAATGGCTAGATGCTCTAAACAATAGGATGCACTATTACAGTACAAAACAAAAAATTATGACAAGATCGGATTTAACAAAAACAGGTGGGTTGAAAAATTAGCACATAGTAAACAGGGTGTGAGATTTGAAAAAATGTCTTTGGGAGTTGGGCTTGGGGGATTGGAAACCTTTTGAGTGAGAGGCAACCAAGAGAAGGGGATGGAAATTTTCAACCGTATTGGAAATAATGGCACTTGTACGGTATCAAAGTTCTGGCTCTATTGCAGTCCAAAACTTCACATGGGGAGCAAAAGTTGCTTTTAATGAGTAATAATTTTTTGAAAAAGTGCCATAAACAATGCAATAGAGCCAAAACTGACGCTCAGTGCTTTTAGAAATGAGAAAATCCGTAGGTTCGGAGAAGAAACTGGGAAAATGTTCAACTCGTAGACGAGAAATAGATTATTAGAGTGCAATTAGAGTGGGTGGAAAGTGAAGATGAAAAGTATATGTGATGACAGTGAATTTCATGCTTTGGGGGTGAGAATTAAAGTTCAATGTGACTTAGAAGTCATGAAAATGATATTTTTGGTGAAGTTAATTGAAAATGCTCAAACGAAGAGAGTCCATGCTCCCAGAGAGGAAGTCATTTGGACCACTGAACAAGTTGTAGCTGTCGGTGGTTGGTAGTTGTGTTTCTTCTGAGCTGGCGGTAGAGATGCTAAGTGGGCGGTTTCCCATGAATCCGAGATCTGGAAAAAATTAGTGTTAGTAAGATTGTTCAGCTCTTCCTTTGAACTTACTGTTAACTTCTGGAGAGATCTCTGGAAGTGCTGCAAGTGATGTTCCGATTGGTCCAATGCTTCCACGTCCACATTTGCAGTGACAAACGCATGCCATTTGACCAATTACTGATACACCCACTTGGGTTCCAGTGCTAGCTTTTGTGGTATTCAGTCTCAAATGCTTTAGATTTCCCAACTCGGAAGTTACAGTATGATCGGAGTAAGAGTCACCGCCTGGAGATCCAACACGAGACGAGTGGATGGTGTTGAGTCCACCATTCGACCAGAGTCCCATGTTTGAGCCGGTGTTCCAGTGATCTTCAAGATGTGGAGATACAAGATGTGAATCCATCAAAGACATTGGTCGATTTCCATTTGGTTGGCTGCATTGGTTACCCCATGGATGGGCTGCTCTGCGGTGCATGTATCCGTTATGTTGTCTTCCCATTCCATAGCCATCTCCCATTGGAACCGACATTGTTCTCTGGATTCCACGTGGAATTTGTTGGTGCTCATAGGACGATCTGTTGTTCATTCCAAAAATACTTGGGAAGAATTGATTGATGAAGCCCGGATAGTCGTAGTTTGGGAGATTGCGGCGAGCAGAAACGTAGGTTCTGTTTGGGAACACCGCGAATGCAAAGTTGTGGCTGCTGAGTAGAGTCAAGAAGGATCCATTGTCGTATCCGATACAGTCTCGTACACTCTTCTCGACTGAGTCACTGTTGAAGTAGTCAAACAACGATTGGATTGATACAACACCACCTCGACGGAGAAGATAGGTCGAGAGGAGATACACGGCTTGATAGATAGCTGGATGCTGAAATTTTGAAAAATGAACATTTCAACTATTATTTAGTCAATTTACCTGCAGATAAATGGAGTCATCGTTTGTGAGATGAAATACATGAGTACGGCGCTCGATGAAGTTTCTCCGCTTCATGGAAGAGCTTCCAACGTAGCGGAAGAGTTTTTCATCTCCTTGATTTGAGATGTGCGAGTGGAGGCTGAAACAGAAGAACTGTATCACAAACGTTATTATTTGACATAGTCTTGAGTAGCATAATAACATTTGTTGGGATTAGAAGACACCAGAAAAAGCCAAAAACTGTCTAGGAAGGAAATTAAAACAGAAATAGCCAGCAATTCTCACAACTAATGCCGAAGTATACTAATTAGAAACCATTATTTTCACATTTCCGGTCAATCAGATATACAAAGACGTGCTTTTCAGTTGTTTTCTGCCAATTTGACCACTTTCAGGTTACTGGAGCTTGGCTGTCAATTTTTCGATCACTTTGAAAACTTCGGAGAGACTAATTCGGGCTTAGATTAAAACTTTACATTCACGGAATTTATTCAAACCTTAGTTTTCCAGCTATTCGCCGATTTCTGAAAGACACACCTTCAGCTCGTCTTTGTACTGAAAATTAATAAAAACTTTCAAAATCGGCAAATAGTCAAAAGCCAAGAAATTCCCGAAAATTCTGCAGAGTTTTTAGTCTAGGTCTGTTTTACTCCCTTCAAATTTTTCAAAGTGATTGCAAACTTGCCAGCGGAGCTCCAGGCATCTAAAAAGGTAAAAATCTCCGAAAACCAACCGAAAAAATGTTTTTGTGTATCTTATCGACCAGTACTGTATCTGAAACGGAAGAACCAGTGACAGCAAGCTTTAAAGGGATTAGATGGAAAAATTGGATCGAAAGTAGATAGACAAGTTGATTCTAGAAATAGTCTACAAACCTCACTACTAATGTCGAAATGAACGTATTAGTGACCTAAATTTTGATATCACGTAATAACAGTACCCCCTAGGAACTACAAATTCGCTAATAAAACCTTCACACTATTTCCGACTCCCAAGAATCACTCACTTGCTCAACTGCAACTTGTGTGTTCCTTGACGTTGAAAAGTTCCCAACAAAGCACCGTAGGCGCAGAACTCCAAATCTGGCGCATATGACTCTTTCGCATTGACTGGTGTTGGATTTTTTGACTGCAAGTCGATCTCCGGAGCGTTGTCGAAAATCTCATCAGCTTCTGCTCCGAATACTGGGCTGACTTGGGTGGCGGTGTACTGCTCGCCATCGGCCTTCAGTGCGTGGTACTTGAGAGTGAAACCCACACGAAGGACTTGGGTGAGATCGTTAACTCCCTAAAATCCAAATCAATAATGAAGAGACCAGAAGATGTGTTAAGCAAACCTGATCACAGAATTCTTTCAGCTGGAAGGAAACGGTTGTTTTATTTGCATTTGTGATGACACCAGCTTTTGAAGAGAGCCAGGTAAGGAGACCATAGCCTTTTACGCTGTGCTGCACTTCGATTGCTGGTTGTGCTTGCATTGCTGGTCCACCGTAATAGCCACCTTGGCCAGCGTATCCGTTGTAATTATTTTGGTAGTTAAGAGCACCAGCACGAGCAGTATCAAATAGAGATGGGGCTGCGAAGTTGGCGGGAACTGAAAATTAAAAGATTCTTATTGTCAATTAATATAAATGTAAGATGCAGAGTTAGGGGGCTAGGTTACAGGTAGGCTGTTTCGGTTGTTTTTGCTATCTGAACTCGCGTATTGATCAGTTTGGGTTTTCGGGTGCCAGCGGAATGAAACAAAGAGTTCGTGTACGGATCGAATTCGAAAAAGTGAAACCTGTATTAGAAGGGCTCGCATACAGACAATGTAACCTCGAAATTTTGTGAACCTAGATTTGGTGAAAATTTCAGGATAGGCTGAGGATAGACACATATAAAAATTGAGGACCCGCTCGTCTGTGTCAGCCGAGTTGTATCAATTTCAGTGCCAAAACTTCAGTGAACAGACAGCCGTTGTCAAAGATAGTTTTCTCAACTCTAGGCTTTTTCAGAACATCAAATTTAAAGTTTCGAAACTTTTTCCCCTGAAAAGGGGATTTTGATACTGAAACTGATGTGATTCGGCTGAGACTGGAGAGCCGATTCAAAAACTTGGTGTCCAGATAGTCTATTCTCAACCTATCCTGAACTTTTTTTCAAAATTTTGCGTCAAATGGTGTCAAAGTTATCTTGCGAGGTATATTTTTCCCTTGCACTTTCTAAAAGTCTACTAAATACTAACAAGAGTTGTAAGAATCATGAGAAAATACGTGCTGTCGTCTACAACAATGAGGTGTCATTCATAAAAGTAACATATGGTTAGTCGAAACTAAGAAGTGCAAACAAATCGAGAGAAATGCTATAATGGTTATAACAACGAATCGGAACCAAAGACGTGAAAACCCCTGCTCACTCATTTGGAAACAGTGTGTTCTTTTTTGCTATCAAAATTTAGAGTTCCTTTTGAAACAACAAGCCACGCCCCCTTTTGCAAAAAATGAGGATATCCATGAAATTCGGGTTCTATCACAGAAGGAATGTCCCAAGATAGGGTCTCATGATGGAACGAACGAGGTACTTCCGGCCCCATCCCTCCGACCACAGTCTCAAGATCTGAAAATTTCAGAAACAGAAAACCTCGAAATTCGAAAACTTTAGAATCAGGGACTTAGCATCCTGTGGATGGAACCGTGGAAAGCTTGATATGAACACAGTCAGAGGGATAGGACTACGGTATCCCTCTTTAGAACCTTTAACCATATCATGAGACTGAGAGTCCCCACACCGGACTTCATTTCTAGGATAGACCCAAATTAAGAACATTCATTCGATAGATTACTCTATTTGTACTAACCGAATCCCACCATATACATTTTTTCAAGCTCAATTATCGGCTCTTTATGACAAGGGGCAGGGCCAAGTCAAAAGGGGGGGCCCATAGGTAAAAATGTGGACTAAGTTAAGATTTACCAATTTTTTCAAGTTTTGTGACCGTTTTCATTAAAATTTCGAGCTTTGAACACTTTTCATAATTGTTTGAAAATTTCAGTTTATGTCATTTTTTGCATATTTTTTGTCTATTTTTTTTGTTACTAAGCTCGGAAAAATCTGAAACTAGCTGAATAACTTCAAATTACACAGTTACAATAGAAACAAATTTTTTTCATACAAAAAACCGCCCTAAACTGAATTTTTTTGAAGTGACAAATTTTTGTGGAAACATTCGAAAAACTAGAAAAAATTGGTAAATCTTAACTTAGTCCACATTTTTAGCTACGGCCCCCATTGTTCCAAGGTACCTCCGGAGGGCCCTTCTATTACAGGTGCTCTTCAATTAGAGGGGGCCCTTCTATTCTTCCGGCCAGTTTTTTCCAAAATTTAGTATCGAAAAATTCGACGAAGTTTCGTTCAAAATTCATGAAAATCTGCTCATTTCTTCGAAATTTAGCAAGATTTTAATCGAAAAACAGAGCTTCAACAAATTTTTATTAAATTGTAGAGCTCTCGGAATATTTTACACTGAA